GTGTGTGTGTGTGTGTGTGTGCAGTATAAATGTGAGGGCCATAGAGAGAGCTTGCAGGCTGCAGACCAATGACAGCATCCCAACACAGCTCAGTGTGGATTAAAGCATTCTCATTTCCGGTATTCTGTATTTGGAACATTTATTTGAAACACAAAATGACTTATGTTGGGTATAATGGTGATTGTTCTCCTCGTGCACATGAAATGAAACACCAACACGCACCAACCTGCTGCTTTTGGCTCTGAAACATGGAGGTTTTGGTCACAACAGTGGAAGAAAAACCCCATCAGAAGTGTTAGAAGACAGGAGGATTTGGGTTGTTTTGTTGGACAGATGGGTGACGTCCCCGTGAGGACGGGAGAACCCGGCTCACCTGGGAGTCCGGCGCAGATGCAGAAGAAACTCAGAGGAAAGCAGCAGCCTCGTGGGACGGTTCATCTGCAGAGATCTGGGTCAGGAAGGGGTCAGTGAAGAGAGGAGGCGTTAATTAAAAACCTGGACAGACGAGAAAAACAGCTTTAAAAAGATCTCTGATTGTAAAGCTTCCTTCTCAGTTAAATAGTTGTCTTACGTACAACCACCTCAAAATCCCCTGCTGTAACACCCCCCCCCCACACACACACACACACACACAGATGGCTCTCACTTTGTGCATTAGTCTAAGTCCGGCCTCACATCTGTATACTGAAGAAACAGTAACCCATTGTTAATCTGCGGCTTAAAGCAGCCCATTAACCAGAGAATAATCTGTCTGCGCCCGAGGCAGCTGCCCCGGATCAATATTCCTCACAAGCTAATTCGGAAACAAAATGCACCAAACTGCATCTGAATAAGTCAGCCACAAGTGATTTGTTCAACACATCGCACACCAATGTTGCCAAAAAGTAAAATATGAGCGGTCTTTGTGCAATGTGTTGAGGATGACTCTCAGCTACCACCAGATTTTAGCAAGTGGGGTTTTCTGGAGTTTTTGCTGTAGGCGAAGTTCATCCTAACTGTGATTGGTGGTGTTCTTTGACGTGGGCGGAGTTCATCCTAACTGTGATTGGTGATGTTCTTCGATGTGGGCGGAGTTCATCCTAATTGTGATTGGTGGTGTTCTTCGATGTGGGCGGAGTTCGTCCTAACTGTTATTGGTGGTGTTCTTCGATGTGGACGAAGTTCATCCTAACTGTTATTGGTGGTGTTCTTCGATGTGGGCGGAGTTCATCCTAACTGTGATTGGTGGTGTTCTTCGATGTGGGAGGAGTTTGTCCTAACTGTTATTGGTGGTGTTCTTCGATGTGGACGGAGTTCATCCTAACTGTGATTGGTGGTGTTCTTCGATGTGGGAGGAGTTTGTCCTAACTGTTATTGGTGGTGTTCTTCGATGTGGACGGAGTTCATCCTAACTGTGATTGGTGGTGTTCTTCGATGTGGGAGGAGTTTGTCCTAACTGTGATTGGTGGTGTTCTTCAATGTGGGCGGAGTTCGTCCTAACTGTGATTGATGGTGTTCTTTGATGTGGGCGGAGTTTGCCATAACTTTGATTGGCAGTTTGGAATACAGGCGGAAAGCTTTGGGTGTGGGCGAAGTTTGGCAAAACTGTGATTGATCAGAGTGACTTGTCTTGTGGGGCAAATTAATAAATTAAGTAATGGTAAAATTCTTGTGAACATGTAAAGCTAATTTTTTGATTTCAAGTTTAGTGCAGCTAGTACTTTCCTGTCTCAAGTTAGGACTAACATTAATCTTCATTCTCAAAAATAGCAATCTTTTTCCAGGTGGGTTAGGATTGTTTTGACTGAAGCAAATGGTTACCCATCCCTAAACATGCATGACGTTCAGATTTCTTGTGGCTAGCACTGGGGCTGCAACTAACCATTATTTTAATAATCGATTAATCTGTCGATTATTTTTTTGATTAATTTTTTCGAAATCATTAAAACACGTAATTAGATAAATATAAGTAGATATAAATTAATTTAATTCCTGTATAAATTAGGATGCAAGTTATC